TTCAGATTCCAACCTTCAATACGGTGGTAGTGTTCAACCTTTTCAAGAATGCGAAGACTCAACATTAGCTGGACCCCATGTATGTTATTTTGATTAATGTTAAAAACAATATTGAGGGCCTATATTTTATATATTAACCACTTGCTGACCGGGGTGTTTATACCCCCTTCCTGGCCAGGCCATATTTCAGTATTCAGTACTCCGGTACTTTGACTGACATTTATTCCATCATGCAATGCTGTACTGAAATTTTTTGGGCAAAAAACCTGTTTTCCCTACGTCATGTTATAAAACATTTATTACCCAAATTGTTTTTAAATATAAAAGACGGGGTCATGTTGGGTAAATAGGCACAAAACAAGTCAAGCTTTAAAATTGCGTGTGCCCACGAAATCGTAAAAAAATACCATACCCAAAATTGGCCATATGCGACACTTTAAAAGCGGTTATTGCTCATCAGTTTAGTGTTATCAGTGATTGATGGCCCTAGAATTATTGCTCCCACTCCGACGTTCGCGGCTAAATGTAACTTGTGCGCGTAATGGGTGCAATCCTTGTTTTCGCACATAAGCGCACTCAACGCATGTTTGCATGTGGGGGCAAGGGACTTAACTTTTTTTTATTGCTTTTATATGTCACTTTTAAATTTGTTTTTGTAACTTTCATTTTTTTTCACTTAACTTTATTGCTATCAGATAGGGGGGATCCCAAGCCCCCTATGTGATAGCCAATTTGCAGTGACAGGTCCTCTTTATGGAGAAATCAGGGGTCTTTAAGACCCCTAATGTCACCTAGGGACCCCCAGAGAGAAGCAGAGACCTGCTTCACCAGCTTCTCTCTGGCTTCTGTAACGGAGAGTGACAGAGGAATGCAGAAGTGATGTAATATACATCACTTCCTGCATTCTGACAATGAGGAGGGGATCAAACGGAGATGTGTCCTGAGCTCCGTTTGATCTCAGGTCACAGAGCTGCTGTGCTGTTCCCGGGCTCACACTGGGTACAGCGGAGCTCGGGATTGCCAGACCCCCAAACGCTGATATGTAAACAGCCATTGCTGGCTGTTTACATTTCAAGCTAATTTCCTGCTCGTGTTCCGCCTAGCGGCGGGCACGAGCAGGGCAGGAAGGCACTTTTAAAAACGCCCACCCGCATCCAAGAAGCCGCTGTCTGGACAGCCGGTGGTTATAAAGTACAGTTACTCGGGATGTACACATTAATTCCACTTCTCCTTTTGATTCCGCTATTCTTGTTTGTTTCCTTTTTCTTTCCTTGCTTAGGATACATCTCTTTGGTGTGGAATACCATATTTTCTTTAGTTTAGCTTTATTTTTATTTTTTATACTCCAGCTGGTGGCCCCCAGAAACTTAATTGGAATACCTCCTCAATTTCTTTATGGCCTCCTTAAACTTTGTATCACTTAATGTACAAGGTCTTAATAACCCTAGAAAAAGATCTCAAGTCCTGCATCATATGCATAAGCATAGAACTCATATTCTTTTTTTTTTAGACAATATAAGACTATACATAATTGGAAAGCAAAAACAGCAAAACACCAGTAAACTTGTTTCTTTCCTTCTCAATAGTGACTATACACCAGATTTAATAGATTTTTCCACTATCAAACATTTCTGTCAAAGTGGATCTGCATGTCACTATCTTTATTGGTGTCTTTACTTTTGTCTTCAAAATCATCTTAAATGTGATGAAGAAAAATTACGGTAGTGAGATATACTGTGTAGCAAAATTTTAGAAATGTCACCAGCACACCAATCCTTTTAAGATAGCAAAAGCTTCATTTATTGAAGTTTTTTGTCATATGACCAAACAAGCGCTTTCTGGACCGCACAGGGTCCCTTCATCAGGCTTTAGCATTGACGATGAAGGGATCCTGTGCGGTCCCGAAAGCGCTTGTTTGGTCATATGACAAAAAACTTCAATAAATGAAGCTTTTGCTATCTTAAAAGGACTGGTGTGCTGGTGAAATTTCTACAATTTTGCTGACATTCGCGGCGCCATCCGCAGTCACTGCGAGCACCCCCCACTACAAGGGAC